GGGATTATTATGTTGGTATACTTGTTTGTTCTATGGAGGCATTGAAGGTTTGCCATTGTTGGAATCCGCCCTGAGTCCCCCCAGGGAGATAGAGCAGAATATAAATAAAGTATTATTATTATTATTTGAAACACAACAAGAATAGTACATAGCTCAAAAAAGAACACATCACTCAAAAATAAACACAGCAAATAAGATCACTATGCTGGTTTTTTGTATTGGATCACATGTTGGACACTTCCCAAGTGTCTAGGACTATGTGATGTATCGGCGAATAATGCTTGCAGATCCCAGTAAGGTGGCCTTTTGCAGCTGATAGATGGTAATTTTGTCAGTGCCAATTGTGTTTAAGTGCAGGCTAAGGTCTTTAGGCACTGCAGCCAGTGTGCCGATCACCACTGGGACCACCTTGACTGGCTTGTGCCAGATTCTTTGCAGTTTGATCTTTAAATCCTCGTATCATGTCAGCTTTTCCAGTTGTTTCTCTTCAGTCTTGCTGTTGCCTGGGATTGCAACAATGATCCATACTTGGTTTTTTAACACAATCATAAGGTCAGGAGTATTGTGCTCCAAAACCCGGTCATTGTGAATTCGGAAGTTACAGAGTAGTTTGAGGTGTTCATTTTCTGTAACTTTTTCTGGCTTGTGGTTCCACCAGTCCTTTGTTACATTATCATTACTATTATTGTTATTGTTATTATTACTATTATCTTTTTATTATTTTTCACTGCATCTCCCTCTGTTCCTCAAGTCATCTGCCTTAACACTCTAAAGCAGTGTTTCTCAACCTGGGGGTTGGGATTCCTGGGAGGGTTGTGAGGGGGTGTCAGAGGGGTCGCCAAGACCATCAGAAAATACAGTATTTTCTGTTGGTCATGGTGGTTCTGTGTGAAAAGTTTGCCCAATTCTATCATTGGTGGGGTTCAGAATGCTCTTCAATTGTAGGTGAACTATAAATCCCAGCAATGACAACTCCCAAATGTCAAGATCTATTTTCCCTAAACTCCACCAGTGTTTGTATTTGGGCATATAGAGTATTTGTGCCAAGTTTGGTCCAGATCCATCATTGTTTTGAGTCCACAGTGCTCTAGATGTAGGTGAACTACAACTCCAAAACTCAAGGTCAATGCCCACCAAACTCTTCCAGTATTTTCTGTTGGTCGTGGGAGTTCTGTGTGCCAAGATTGGTTCAGTACCATCGTTGGTGAAATTCAGGATGCTCTTTGATTGTAGGTGAACTATGAATCCCAGCAACTACAACTCCCAAATGAGAAAATGAATCTCCTCACAACCCCACCAGTATTCAAATTTGGGCATATTAGGTATGTGTGCCAAAGTTGGTCCAGTGAATGAAAATACATCCTGCATATCAAATATTTAAATTACAGTTCATAACAGTAGCAAAATTACAGTTATGAAGTAGCAATGAAAATAATTTTATGGTTGGGGGTTACAACATGAGGAACTGTATTAAGGCGACGGGGCATTAGGAAGATTGAGAACCACTTCTCTAAAGGCACCAGATCCCATCTGATCTTGGAAATTAAGCAGGGCCAGCTTTGGTAAGTACTTCCATAAGAGAGTGCCAACAAATACAATATGCTTTAGGCTGTATTTCAGAGGAAGGAATTAGCAAACTCCCTCTGAGTATTCCTTGCCATAATTAAACAAGTAATCTGAAGGTGAATGCAAATGCACATATTGTTTCTTGGCATTTCTTATGTCTTCTTCTGTAATCTCAACAACATTTAATTTGGAAGCTGGGTTTTGATTGCATACTTTTGACAGTTATGTGCCATGCTCTACTGCCAGGTTGAATACTTTGGCCAAAGAGTCATTAATCAAGGATTCAAGCCATTGAATCAGTCAGTTACCGATGGTTATTTCTACTTCAGGGCCTGACAAAGAGGAGTTTGAGGCAGCATGCAGCTCCCAATGTTGTTTTTGTAGCCCCTGACAGTGAAAGTCATTATCTGAAAATACTGCTAAGAGTAGTGTTACTGCTAGGTGGCCCGATTCAAAATTTCAAAATGCAGGATGAAACTGTATTGAACTGCTTAAATAAACATTCCACAAACAACCAAATACGTAAGCAATAAGTTATAATATTTTTTATTCATGTTAGAATTTCTATCAGTGTTTGAACATTAATGTTTAGAGAGTTTGTACAAATTTCCACTTATGGTTTAAAATTGAGAACCACACTAGATTAAAAAAATGGTAAACCTAAAACAGTTCAGAATGACCCAAAACATCCCCAACTCTCTTTAACACTGTTAACCTTTTCTTGGTTTGCAACTGGGACTGATCAGGAAAAGTGTGCATTGTATTTATGTCTCAGCAATGTTCCAAAACATAATGGTATCATCATTACATATAAACTCTTTAAAAATATAATTCTGTCAAAAGAATTGAGGACTACTATGTACACTACAAAAATAAATTTTCATATAAATAAATTATATGGCATACTTTTATCTTTGAACTGAAACACAAACCCATTCTCCTGCTAAAAGCAGGCAGACAGTGAGACCCAGTCTGAATATTTTTTTTCCTTTTTAACTCCTTGCTATAAAAAGCTACAAAATGAGTCCTTAATGTAAATGTTATATACTCTCTTCCTATTTAACATTAGTAAGCATCCTATACAAATAAAAATCCCATTAAAAGTAAAAACATAGCTGTAATAGTGTTTCCAATAGAAATAAAATCCCTGCATTGTGTTTGTTATAAACTGGCATGACAAATACTGTAAGAAAACATTCTTATGATACAAAAATATAAATATCAACAATTAACATTAAAAATAAACAAGAAAACCAGCCAGCTACAGAGATCTCCTTTTGCCAATGTGACAAGAAGAGAAAATAGACTATGCTAGACACCCAGGGACAGCACCCCACAAACAGGGGGAAAATCCCCCTCTTTCACACACACAAAGACATGGGAGATTAAGGTGAAGGGTCTAGTCACCATCAAAGCTCTTTTAACTTGTTCCTTTTCCTGATTATTATTATTATTATTATTATTATTATTATTATTATTATTAATAATAATAATAATAATAATGATAATATTGGAGAAATGAGTAAGAACTCAAGAAATATCAATGGGTATCCACCATCATATGGGTAATGAATGACCCATGTCACAGTGAAAGGTAGCCTGCAATTGGTATAACATAGTTTTACTCTAGAGAGCATGGATGAGCTCCCTCTGTCAGCTCCAGCTCCCCATGCGGGGACATGAGAGAAGCCTCCCACAAGAATGGTAAAATATGAAAAACATCTGGGCATCCTCTGGGCAATGTCCTTTCAGATGACCAATTCTCTCACAGCAGAAGCAACTTGCAGTTTCCCAAGTTGCTCCTGACATGAAAAAAAATGTTTTTATTGTATTGGAGATTGGAATTCTTTGAACAACAGGGTGGAAGTAACTTGTTAAAATACTGCTTCCTTTAATGTGTTACTTTGGGGTAATCGAGGGCATAACAACAGTCCTTTTGAAAGCAATGTAACACTCAGTAATGTTACTTGCACCCCATCACAAGGACCATTTCTCATTACTTCTAGGCATTACTGAGAGGATAGCTTCTAGGCACACTGTGAAGGGATTTTCTCCCTAAATGTTGATATTAATGTTTTAGGTGGACTGCATGCCCACCAAAGTAACTAAAAAAGTTACATCAATAGGGATGGAACACACCTGTAACAAGCAACACCACAGGCACTTGTTTTAAAAAACACAAACATAATGTTAATGATTCTTTCAATATGTAAGTTTCCAAGTTCTATTGGGCCAATAGCTTGAGCTTTGTTGCTCTACTTGACAGTAGCTTATGTACCACTAAGACAATGACACACCTCTTTCAAATACAAATTTTAGACAGATGTAAACAACATATCAAAGCATTTTCAAGATGAGGGACAGAAAGGGGTATATTGATTCACATGTTATACTGACAGGCATCTAACAGGATTGAATAATCTATGGGCAAAGACTGACCCTGGGAAAGGCATCACGCAATTCAAATAATGTCTGAACTGGAAGAACGAATTGTTGACATCATCATCTAAGGCCAACCCAATATGGGCCCTTGAAGCATGGTCATCTGACCCTGATAGCCACCAAAACTGAACCGGCCCTCCCTCCTTTTCTAGCCATGATATCTGATGATCCCACTCACTGGCACAGATTCCCTTTATCAGAAGAAGAATGTCAGTGTGGTCATTTCCACTCACTTTGTGGATTGGATGTTTGGAACTAATTGGTCAGCATATTGATAAACAGAGTTCACAAGCAAATGCACTTGGAAATGTCAAAGGCTCAGTAGAACCAGTGGGAATAGCATAAAGGCACTGTTGTTTCAATGGCGGTACCTGATGGGCTGCACATCCAAAGGCTCAGTAGAACCAGTAGGACAAGCATAAAGGCACTGTTGTTTCCGTGGAAGTATCCGATGGGCTGCACATCCACAAAAAACTACTTTTAAACATCACATCAAAATCATTTTACTTTCCTCCTTCTGTAGAAGCCCTCACATTACAGCTGAAGTGTATAGAGAAGACCTGTGAGGAACGTGCATGCTCTCTGTTTGTGCCTCTCAGTCTCCTATAGGCAGCAAATTTCAGACGTCTCCCTTGAAGTAACTCCAATGCTCTTGTTATGAGAATAAGCCAATCAGGAGCCTGGGATGAGGCTGTCAGTAGCAACTCTTAAACCCCCAAAACACTTCCACTGGTTCTCTATAAGATCTCATGCAACCCTGCATGGAAATCTCACTGTTTTCAGTTATGGTAAAAGCAAAAATAGGAGGGTGCAAGGCTACAGGCAGAGTCAACCTTGGTGGACTGTGAAGGCCAAGAAGTAAGAGGCACAATCTTGTTTCACATGAGTCACTGATTGTACACTGGAGTGGCACATGATTGACATATATATATATATATATATATATATATATATATATATATATAGTATTCATTTCAGCGGAGCATATGGAGTAACAAGCTCACACAACACCCTTTCTCCCAAATCCACACAGCTACACCTGCTTCATTCACCAAGGTTAGCACACTCCTCTTCATGAATGCTCATTAAAAAACAAATCAGAAAGAGAAAAAAAATATTATCACGCATAGCGTGTTTGAAAATTAAAAGAAGCATTTCATACTACCACAGGGTTGTGATATGAAAAAAAATTAAAATACTTTACATACATACCACACACGCGCACACACGCACACACCTTTACAAACAAAATCCTAATACATTAGCAATATTTGCATAGAATTATACATGTAAATTATACAATATTTAAGCAGCGCAACATATGCTGAAATTTACGACTAGGATTAAGCTTAGTTGTGGTACAGAAATGAATGTACAATAAGTACAGAGCACAAACAATAGTCCCCACTCTGTTAAAAAGGAGTTTACACAACTCCAGATTATACTACATTACATGGTTCCTCTGGTATATTACACATGTGTACATCTTTTAAATATTTATAGAATTATCTCACAAAATAATACAATAGGTTACAGTAATAGGGGAACTGTTGTCCTGATGCAGCATTGTCCTTTCCATAACTTCAAGCAGTTTCTCTTCAAGCAGTTCTGGAAAGAGGAGGTTTCCCGTCTTTGGCCTCTTCTTTGCTTCAGTTATTTCCCTGTACAAATAGAGACAAAAAAAGGAGCCCCACTGTTCAGCTAAAGTTCAGCAAAGATAAATAAATCACCTCAGCCCCAAGCCATCTGACAAGTCCTGCAATTAAAAGCCATGCGGCCTAGGCTCTTTCCTCCCAGTAATGTCAGTGGCTTCCTGTGACCACTAGTTTAAATAGCCTTTTTTTAAAAACCCAAAAGATCTTGTGCATTTCAGTATTTTGGTTCTTAGATATCTAACATCATGAAGCTTTGTCCAAGGTTACAAATGACAGATGCACATCAGCCTTTTCTCACATTAGTACCAACAAGAAAGGAAAAGAGCACCATTAAAATGTGAGACCACACGTTTCCTGAGTTCATTACTCAGAAAAGGAATTACAGGGAGTTGTGTCCAAACATAAGTCTAAGGCAAAGTTTGCTAAGCTATTATGCCTATCTAGGTTTTTCATGGATGCCTCTGAGGAAAACAAGTTTGGACATCATTAAATTGATCTAACAGCAAGGAGGTTTAGATCAAGGAAGAATCTTGTCCTGCAATCCCAGTAAACAGTTGATTTTTGCTCCAGGATTCAGTTTTGTGAGTATCACCCTCGGGCTCAAAACCTCTCTCCTTCTCCCCAGCAGAGTTCAAGGAAAATAGAAACATTTGCTTCAGTTTTCAACTAATTGTGGTTTTTCATTACATCTGGACTTGGACAAGCTCTCATTAAGGATCAATATGCTTTACTGCAACAATCAAATCCTAATCACTGTTAATGAACATGCTTGCTTACTAAACCATCATTAACATTAACCACAGTTCCAAGTTGAGATATTACAAAATTAGTTGAGATAGTTGAAAGTGGAATAATGTATTTTCACTCTTCTTAAAACTACACAGGAATAGAAGAGGGGAAGGTAAAATGCTTGAGGCTGGGGCTTATTCATGTAACCCTAAATTAAACTTCAGCATTCCATGTGAACCTTAGGCCTGCTGGTCAAATCCAAAACTGGGTGTTTCCCCACCTGATCAGAGGTCTCTTTATCATAAAGATTCACTCTGGGCTGACACTGGTCCATCTGAACATAGTCTTGAAGCCATACACTATGACTCCATACAATCTATTTTATATATACAGGACATTCCATGCTAGTTAGAGAGACTATGTTATCAATTCAATGTGTTACTCTCTCTCCAGTGAGTAATGCAACAATCTGAAGTTGGAGGGGAGTAATTACTGAAGGAACAGATTACTTTCCCCAAAACTTCTCCAAGCTGTAAGCTATACTTATTAAGGCTATAAGGTACAGTCAGTATTTGAGAAAAAGAAACTAACCTTACCTTAATCTGAGTTGTTGCCACGAGTCCTTTCTTCACATTCAACATCTTGCAGTTCTATTACTTCTACTTTAGAGTTCCTCCTCTCACACCGGACATTAAAAGGCACATGAGGGTCCTCAAACTGTCCGTGGTCAGTTTCATGGTATCCCTCATAGGATGGGAAACCTCCTCCACGCGTACTGTGGCTGTGCGCAGCAGGATGTACAGCCACAGTAACTGAAGCCGAGGCAGTCACAGTAGTGATAGGCTGGCAGCATGGTGGCACTGAAGCCCCCGCAGCAGTAAAAGCTGGGTTCCTGATATTCTGCGAACGAGTCCTCTGGCCAGAGCAGTCCCCATTACTAGGGCAGGAATGCCCTTCAGTAGAAGTTTCAAAAGCATCCCTGCGTGGCCGGTAAGGGGGCGGCCGGAGTCCTTCCCTTGGTTCTCTTTTGGGTTTCTTGTTTTGATGCCACGTTTGTTGAGGTCCAGGCTCCTGGCTGATCTGTAATCCTGGATTTGCCTGATGATACCGCTTCTCTGGTTGGATCACCTGGAAAGAAATGGGGCATCAAAATATTTCTCTGAGATAGTAAAAAATAAATTGTTGCAGCTACTTTATAAGCTAGAGCTTTCCATGTTATGGACAACCTTTTAACCCCATTTAGGGGGTTGTTTTTATAAAGGAGCAAACAGTAATGCATGCTCGAAACTCAGTCCACTCCATTCTTTCCCTTGTTTTGAGGAAAAGTAGACAAGATAACATTTTGCTGAGTCTAAGTACAAAATTACATACAAATTGAAATCTTAATAATGTAGGGCTCCTGACCACTTGGAGCTCTATAATCACATTGAAGTGAATGTGGAAAATGGGCCTTTTCCAACCTTTCTTGCCACATTGACAAGTAGAAGTGAAGGGACAGGTCTTGAGCTCAGATCCACAGCTCCCTCTACAATGCTTAAAATAAGAAAGGTTTGTGATTTTCTTAAAGTATTATTAAGGATAAAAGACTTTCTTCATCCTAGTGTATGTGTGATGACACTACCTAGTCATCTGTGTTTTTCAAGAGGGTGAAATGTAAAAAGACACATAATCCTGCAATATCTTCTAAATACTGCTGGTCTTTGGCAAAAGCTATAGCTCAGCAACATTATGAACCCAGAAGGTTCACAGGTTACTTTGATGTAGGAATCTGTATTTTTGAAAAGTGTAACACTCAGAGTAGCCATATTAATCAAACAACTATGATCAGCTTTAAATGTTTACGGCTCTACTTAATTTTTTTACATCAGAAAAGAAATCTCAGATGCTATGGTTATTTCACAGTAGGATATAATTTAGAACAACATTAAGTATTCAACACTTGTCACTTGCTACAATATCTTTTCTTTCTAAAAGCAGACTTCTTTGCATTCATTTGTTTATTTAACCAATGCTTTTTAGCAGAGGTGAGAGATAATCTCAAATCTTTGTCTTTTTAGTGGGAGACCATGGCATCATGGCAATTCCAATGCTGTCCATCTATTCCACTGGGAATTCATTTTTGTTATCAGAAGAAATTACATGAATGTTCCTGGACATCACCGTCAGCACCAAGGTTAGTGCATGAGAGGAGGCAGCAGCCAGGCAGGAGCAGACTTTCTTTTTCTTCAGAAGCAGACTAGGGGCCAATTCAGAGAGGCCCAAAATGTGGGACCTGTCTGGGTTTTGACCAGGGGTGCCCAAATGACATCTACGGTAAAAACGAATTAATTTGGAATAACCGAAGTTATTCTGAATTAATTGAATAGCTCATTAGATCTAGGCCTTCCTAAAAGGTCTGTGTCTAATCAAGTATTGGGCCTGTGGGGACTCACTTCCGAATAGTCCTGAAACTACCTGGGGTGAGTCCTCATTTGCCATCCTGAACCTTTTGGGTTACTGGAGCCCAAAATCCGGGATGGTGCCCAGACCCACGTGGCATTACATTCCTTCACGCGCCCTCCTGGAGCAAGGAAATGACGTGACAGGAGACAAGGGGGGACGGGGACAGGGAAGGAGGAATGTAACGGACGCCAGGTAAGTTTAACTTTACTTTTAGGGGTTATTTGTGGAAGCTTCAGAGGGGCTGCATGTCATGTCAGGTTTTTTGGGGGAGTGGAGACAAAAATTCGCACCAAAGCCAGTTTTTAAAACCCACTTTAGGCTGTGTGGAAGCACCCTAGGAGAGAACCAGGGATATTTGGGATCTCTTGGCCAAAAGACTGACTGCGGCTACAAACCTACACAAGACTCCATGGGAGTAAATGAGCGCCTGAACCCACTGAACTTGCTTCTGAGCAAACACAGGACAGTGCACTCAAATGGTCTTTGAAACTGAGACCCAAAGCTTCTGTCTTCCCTTTTTGTCAGAAAGCATTCCTTTAACTCTTTGAGCTTTCCTTCTCACAGAGCTCCTTTGGCTCTCTTGACATCCACAAACCAGTTTTGCAAATTAAGTCCAGGTCTATCAGTAAGTGAAGACCATCTAACATAGTGGATGCATACGATGACACCATGAAGGGTTGGGGTGTAACTATTATGAAGGGACACCACATTTCAGAATTTCCAAACATTATGCTAGACAAGAAAGCCCCCAGAAGCAGTCAGGATACTTTCCAGAGCCATTAGTCTTCTAAAGTGGACCATCTTAATCATTTCTCCACTTCTGAGAAATCCTAGCAAGTTTAAATCCAACAGCATCTTGAAGACCCCAGATTCCCTACTCCTGGTTCACTAGCATAACAAAAGAGGAAAACAGATAGGATTTCAGTTACTTACCGAGGATCTGGCAAATACTGGATTTTCAGTTGCTTCAACAATTACTTGACGGACTGGAGCACCCATTCTTTGTGTGGCCTCATACTGATGAAGCTCTTCACTGATTCCTGAAACTGTGGTCTGAGAACTGTACTCAGAATCAGATGAATCTGACCCATTTTGCATATGAGTTGGTGGTATGGCAAACCTCACAGTGCTTGGAGGTGGCTCAAAAGTAGGAGTTGGCAATGTACTCCTTCCATTGACCGGAGAAACCTGAGAATGACAGTTTAAAAACCCTTAGTGGAAATATGTAAAACAATCCCACTCTGTTCCTTAGGTTCTGGAACAACAGACCAATCCATAGAATAAAATTGCTCCAACAAAACAACTTCCCTTCTGCAGTCCTTGCCTGATACCTCTAGATGTTTTGGGAGTGCTGCTTGAATCCCTCATGCCCAGTGGATAAGCTGGCTGAGGTTGATTGGAGCTGCAACCCAAATACATCTGGCAGATGTTAAGAGTGAATGGGAGTTGTGCCCAAAGGCTGTAGTATACACTATAACCCAAAGCATCAAAGTAAACAGAGCCTTTTCATTGCCCCTTAACAGAATGTCCTTGCCAGAAAAACAGCAGTTTCCTTTTTCCTTTTATGAGAGAAATTTTAGTATCTATATGAGCAGAGAATTACTGTACCCTAAAAGACAAGAGTGAAGCACCTGCCTGCAATAAATTCTGTAACACTTAATGGGTTGTGGCATCCTCTAATACAGTGGTTCTCTACCTGTGGGTCCCCAGGTGTTTTGGCCTACAACTCCCAGAAATCCCAGCCAGCTTACCAGCTGTTATGATTTCTGGTAGTTGAAGACCAAAACATCTGGGGACCCACAGGTTGAGAACCACTGTTCTGATAGGTGAATAGTAAGACCCTGTAACCATGCAACCCAGTGGTTCCAAACCTTTGGTCCTCCAGGTGTTTTGGACTTCAACTCCCAGAACTCCCAGCTGCTAGGAATTGTGGAAGCTGAAGGACCAGGAGGACCAAAGGTTGAGAACCACCAATGAACCCATTTCCATTGTTTAACTTACCAATGCATGGGGAAAATTTGTTTCTCTACAAATTTGGTAGATACTATGGCATGCTTTCTTTGGAAATTCCCAGAGAGGATTCTTCCCTAGGTTCTCTATGAACCTCCAAGTTCTGCAACACAACTGTATTGTATTGTATGCTGGGACTTGAAATCAGGCATTTGATGGCATTCAGTCATATCTGCAGTTTCAGGTAGCCACATTCTGGCTGGGAACGTTTCCCCTGCTGATATGGGGATCTTAAACCTGAGGCATCTTTTAAGTTTGCTGCCTATAACTTACAAGTGATGGCATGAGTTGTTTCTTACTGGTCCATTGTGATTAAAAATAAGAACATTTAGGTATTAAGAGTAAAGGGTAATGTGGGTTTTCTGGCTGAATGGCTATGTTCCAGAAGCATTGGAATGCTTCTGGAACATGGCCATACATTCCAGAAAACTCACAGCAATCCAGTGATTCCGGACATGAAAGCCTTTGACAAGATATATTTTTGTTGCCTAATGACAGCTATAGGAAGTTCAAGAGAATTTGCTTTCTGGAATTGACTGAAAATCATATTTCTTTTCATGTCTGTCCCAAAATGTTGCCTGAGTTTAAAGTACCTAAAATAATAAAAGCAACTAAGGGAAAAAAATAATTGTAATTTTCAAGGAACACAGTACTGACCTCAGGATATGGTCCAAACAGGGAAAGTAGAATGGGAAGTAGCACCAGTCCGTTCAAAGCACCCAAGATGGTTAAAATTGCCAAAACAGCAAAGAAATATCTGAAATATTTTAATATATTAACAGTTAAAAAGCAGACTGTGTAATAAATATGAAAATTATAAAAAACAAAAATTTAACTTATTTTATCACACTCATAAAATGGTAAACAAACATAGCATTAAAACTGTTTTTGTTTAGCATGCAATTTGTTTTCACGTGCAGATTCTTTCTTTTTACCTTTTGGATTAGAGAGGCTACATTCCACAAGCCAAAGTGTTAGTTCAAAAAAAAAAAAAGAGGGAAAAAAGCATGTTAATTTACCAGAATCTTGCAGCATGTAATGTTATTTATGAATGTGTTACACAAACACAAAAATATGGAATGTGAATTGAATGACTGAGCAGATTGAAAGCACAAACACAATGGAAGGGGCCCCTATTAGTGAAAACCCAGCAGAAGCAAACAAATGAAGTGAAGGGTGTAGAATTTAAACAATTTAGCCCAGAAGGAAAAAGAAGTCCACTTCTCCCAGCAGCTAATCCACTGTGAAATGCTTCCACGTCTAACAGCAGAATCTCTAATTAAATCTCTAGTGTATCAGGTAAGGCTTTCCCTTGCCATTCATTAATCACAACTTTCCGCCTTGAATTCTGTGAGTTCCAGTTTTAGCAAATAGCTCAAATTGCAACCTTTTTAGACACAGGAACCAGTTTTTTGCAAAGAAAACGCAGGGCATTCTGTCGTAAGCCTAAGCATTGTACTGAGTAAGCGCACTCTACAATGGCAGAGCTGCATTGCAGGCTAATCTTTTGTTGAACAATTTAGCATCTCTGAATGCTCTTGTTTTGTGTCAGCCAATTCAAACATAAAGGCCGAAGCACTATGGAAGAAGAGGAGAGTGCACAAGTGGTTGTCCTTTCCCACCATTGAGGGCTAAGGTCTGGTATCCTTCATGAATAGGATGGTAAACCTGCCAGTGAGAGGAAAGCCTTACTAGATAGTATGGGTGGGGCGGGGAGGCATGGAGAATGGAGGCTTCGTTCCAAGATGCATTTTACAGCTAATGGATTTGGAGACTTGGATCTTAGGAACAGTCTGAAGGTGAAAGGGGAAGATGGGGGCAATCCCTCTGCCAATGCCTCTGCTGACTACATGTTTAAACAGGAAACACTCATGTGATCAGATCTATCAACATGGAAAGCTAAACTATCATCCCGCTGCAGTAGGATTACATCTGGGAATTTCTGGTCTGCATTAGAAGAAAAGCAGGGGAAAAGTCAACAAACTAATCTCCTACCCTAATGTAAACGAACAGAGCTTTATACTGGGGAAACACCATCAACAAGAGGCGCTGGAGACATTTGCATCTCATCAGTCTATCTTAGAATAAACAGGCTGATTATAGATCTGATCACTCTGAGTATACAAAACTTCGATTCAGACATTATGTTGGGCTAAAACCAATCCCTCTCCGGAAGTTTGGGGCCTTCCACAACCTTGAAACAAAGCCCAAGCTTTGCTCATTAGCCATAGATCTTAGGAACAGTCTGAACTTTTTAAAAACTTTTTAAAAACCAGAAAAACCAGAACTTTTTAAAAACCAGAAAAACAAAACAAAACCCAGATTCTGTTAGACAATGAAACTGCTAACCAAAAATGAAGCTTTGAAGTGCTACAATACTGGTTTTTATTTTATAGCAGATAGCTGTTAACTATGGAGAATGATAGCTGTAATAAATGAAAACAATGGAAACTAAAACACTAGGACCACAAAGTATCCAGTTTGTGTAGAAGGTGAGCACAATAATCAATTCTGAAATGGTATTTTCCGACCCCAAATGGGGTCCCCTTAGCTCAATGGTGGGATCCAGAAAATTTTGGCAACAATAAACATTTTCTGAACCTCACCTAGTGGCCGTTTTAGACATTTACCCAAATCTGTTTTCCTCTGTTTACAGTGGACTCTGCCGAAGATGCTTCGGCTGTATTACATAAAAAGAAAAATCACCCTGTTTATTATGCCTTGCAAATACTAATTTGTTATCAGTAAATGCTTGATTTTTATACCTGTTTTATATGCCTATAGACCTGGGGTCACATAAAAAATTTCCCTGGCCCGAAGAGGTCCTGAGTGGAAAAGTTTAAGAAGGTGGTGAGAGGATGGCAAATGAAATTCAATTCAACATAACTGAAAGAACAGTATCTGGCCCTTCATCTGAGTGAAGCTAGCTCAGGAAATGGTGAAAGACGAGCCATGTGAGACGCACAGCTCTCTACCCAACACCTTTCCATTGCTCACATCTGATCTGTCTCACCATCTCTCCACCCCACAACACCTAAAGTATTAAGTGTACAGTGTTAAAGCCTTCTACCCTATAGCCTTGTTTCAGGTATTATCTTAACTAAATATATGAGGGACTAATGGATTAGCCCTGTTTCTTCTGACATTGCCTTCCTCACAGGAAGTGATATATGTATGAAAGCTCTGCACTCAGTTCTACACCTTGATTTTGCTGACTTGAATGGAGAGCCTCCATGCAAACAAAGCATTCTCTGCTTATGACAGATAGGGTTAGCAAATAGTTAGCATGATCTGCTTCCTTACATGTTTAGTTAAAGCTAACAAAAAAATTATGCAAACAAAATTTTTCAATGGCAGAAAAGCCACTGAAATGCCCAAACATGTGGACAATTTTAACAGAAAAGAGGAAACCATGAAAATGAACAAAATCTGGTTACCAGTATTAAAAAAACCTCTAGAATCAGGACAGCAAATAAAGGGGAATACTCAAACAACACTAAACAACAGGAATACTAAAACAATCAGGGCCAGCTAATATCTCCCAACAAAGGTTCCCCCAGGCAATAATCAGCCAGACTTTGCAGCTGCAAGGCCATTCAATGCTAATTAAGCTGTCCAATTGCAACATTTACACAAGAGTTTTTTCTCCCACTCTGGACATTCTACAGATATACAAACCCCACTCGCCTAGTTTCCAACAGACCTCACAACCTTGAGGATGCCTGTCATAGATGTGGGCGAAATGTCAGGAGAGAATGCTTCTGGAACATGGCCATGCAGCCCAGAAAACTCACAGAAACCAAGCCTTTTCTCATTTATTTTCCTTATACACACAGAGACCTAGGTCCAATTTCAGATCTACTGGAAGTTTCTGGTCATGTGGGAAGGAGGGGACAAATTACAATCGGTTTCTATGTTGGACTGAATGTAGATGGAGAGCATTAGTTCATAAAGTTTTGAGAGACTGCTATATTATATGCTTTGCTATTATCCTCTGTATGAGTGTTTTAAGAGCTTTACTTTTTGTGTTGATGGGTATTTTTTTCATTTATCAGTCTAAATGTTGTCAACTCATAGAGCCCTTTTTTCTTTTATTCCATTTTATTCCTTACCTACTCACATATCTAAGTTTTGTATTTTGGTTATGCAATGCCACAAAGGAATAGTGTTGCCTTTCTGCCCAGCATCTTTGCAAAGACTGTCAGGAGCAAAAGAGAATCTATTTCATCACCTCTTAAATCCCCTCCTCCCATCCACAGCAATGGGAGTGGGGGGTGGACTTCTTTTAGACTTCTATCTGCCAAAACCATATTCTTAATTAAATCCACAAGAAAAGAGGCTCCCTTCAGCTCCAAACAGAAATACCTTCGGGCTCCACTTTATGGATTTTATGTTACCCTCTGTGATGTTGTAAAAGTGCCTGCCTTCTCTTATTTTACACTGGACATTTTATTTTGGTCAGTCAAATTCTGCCATAAACTTCAATCAAGAAGAAAGGGAAAAGCTAGGGGGTTCGGTTTCAGGATGTTTATACATTTCTAGGCTTCTCCACTCAAAACATTCTTGCATGTAAATAGTTTCAAAGAGTGGTTGGGTTAAAGGTCACGCCCAGCTAGCCACTGGACAATGCTGGCTCTTTGGGAGTAAATTTACTGAGCAAACTAGAAGGCTTTCTGACTTGGAATTGAAATTTTCAGGAAGAAAATCCAGGGTTTGAAATGAAAAGAGCACATTAAATGCAGACAGCAAATAATAAGCAGAATGAAAGTAGAATCATGAGATATGAAAGCACGGCACATTATGCATGGCATTATGTCAGCAAGTAGAAGGAAATGTGCAACAGCACTCGCATGTAAGAAATCTCATTTAATTGCTATTTTGACAAGCCAGATTCACTGGGGTGCCCCAACATAGCTACATGCCCAAGTGTAATCCAACTGAAACAGTTTCTTAATCGCATATCACATTATTCAATTGCAAGAGCCTTTGACCAATCAGATAAATGAGATTCCAGGAGTTTGTGTTTTCAATCAAGCAGACTTAGTGAGGCAAAATGGACATATGATTTACCTGACAATAAAGTCAAACTCAGATCCTGCAAGCATTAAGACGCCAAGCAGTGTAGACACAGCTCCATCCAACACAGGTGCAAACATGTGTTCTAATGCAAGGACAGCCCTGTGATTCTTGTCTCCCATTGCAGTCAGAAATGCCTAAAAAAGAATGAGGTTCATGCCATCAGATTAGTGCATACAACTCATGGAAATACTTTGTTTCATAATGAAGAGGAAAAGCAGCACAATGGAAATCACTTAATTGACAATTTATTCCTATAGATATATATTATCTCCATTTCCCCCAATTAATAAACTCCAGGACATGACATGAAGGCTCTAACTGAAAATCTATAGATTTTGATCTCTTGAAGGGAAAATGAAATGGCAAAACATCAGGGCTGTAGCCAGAAAAAAAATTCGGGAAGGGTTGAAAATGGGGGGGGGGGGGTTGAAACCTGCCTCCTAGCTCACGTTGAAGCAAAGAGCACAGCAGGGGGCAGAGCAGCCTTCAATAGCCTGCAGCTGCACCCCTGTCAACCACCTCCACCAAGTCTGGCCTCCTTAATGAGAGCGTTCAACACACACACACACAACTTGGTTGCTTCACTACATCGGCTATTGCTGCAAGTAATGACAGTGTGAATAAATTGTCAATATTTGCTTGAGATAGTGCTTACAGTTCTGGAGGGACTCTTAATTTTTTGCATCTCATAGACTTAGCATGGGGATTTGGTTAACCAGTTAAAATTCATGAGTAAACCAGGTTTTTTTTTTAACCTGAAAAATTTCGGGGGGGGGTTAACCCCCCCCCCCCCACTACAGGCCTGCAAAACATTGTAAGTTGTATACAATGCTTTAGTATGCAAATAGTCACAGACATTATATAGGTGTCACTGAGGCAAACTGTAACTGTATAATAAAATGAATGGCATGTGTAACATATGGAAAATACAATGTATTAGAAGACTAGCACTGGCTAGATATTAAGTATCCATAATTCCTCTTAAATTCCGGAGGTTATACACAAAATCTGCTAACTTGAGTAGCAGATCTAAGTATGATATATTTTTGTTAGTACTCTGAGTCTCTTCTTTTTAGTCACTTGTATAGATTCATTTATGTAACTATAGAGATAATTTTAGTTGCAGAATTCCAAATCTCATCAAAAAATTAACATATGCTTTGGCTGAAATCAAGATGTTGTCTAAGCAAAACTTTGGTCTTGGTTTGTACAGCTGGAGTCCCCGGTGATGCAATAGGTTAAACCCTTGTGCCGGCAGGACTGCTGACCAAAAGGTCAGCTGTTCGAATCCAGGAAATGGTGTGAGCTCCCATTTGCCAGCTCCAGCTTCTCATGTGAGGACATGAGAGAAGCCTTCCCCTGGGAAACATCCTCGTAGAAGGCCAATTCTCTCACACCAGAAGCAACTTACAGTTTCTCAAATCACTCCTGACGTAAAAAAAGCTTGCACAGTTAGCATCATGACAGCCATGCTAACAAAGGTAAATGAGCAACACTGTGTTTAATAGACAGTAAAAAATGAAAGCACGGATGAAGTGATGGGAACAAAGGGAGAGAACTCAGATTTAGAAGTTTTAAAATATAGCCTGCACTGAAGCCTTGATACTGTTACTTTGATACTCATGATGCTGTAACGAAACCAAGACTCTCATTAGTGACAACTTGGTAGTAGAATTTACAATAAGAAAGTAGCTGAAGTCATTTCAGCACTATCTTGGCTTACTTAAACTGTTTAAAAAATGAGCAGAAATAGAAACTTGAAACAGCTTGGGAAAATTGGACTTCCAAGACTTACTACTGTCAGTACTTGGAACGAAATGCTTAAAGTGAACCCAGCTCTCTTTAAAGCAACATTAGCTTAAAAAGTCTTCCCTATCCCCATGGATACTTAACATTGCTGACAGTAATGGCCTCTATATTTTGAATTTACTTGGACTGGTAGCATACCATTGGATAGTACTGGAGAACCTAAAGAGGCCCCCAACTTCAAAGGGGAAGATTTTTGGAAGGGTGGGTAAGAGAAAGATGGATATTGAATCCATGGATAAGAGGTTGTACTGTATTTAGTTGTAATCCTTACAATCATAATGTAAGGCGGATCAGTAAGGATATCCCTAACATTGTAAGGCTGGGTCTAAAAATGTGGCTTGCTCAGGATTGACTTGTGTTTTTGTGACTGAGGTAAGAATCCAACTAGTCTCTTAGAGAACTGGGGCAGTGCGGTGCCTATGTCATTTTTGGCCATACATAACCAATACATATGGGCAGATGAACTATATTAGTAASTAGATTTTATGGACTAATTTGAAAAAATGTGGATGCTTCAAATTAATATGGTACACCCGTGTGTGTGTGTGTGTGTGTGTGTGTGTGTATTTTTATTCTCAGCATACACCAAACCAGTGCAACTAATATGGATAAGTGGAAATCACCTAATAATAATAATAATAATAATAATAATAATAATAATAATAATAATAATAATATAATAATAATAATAATTTATTTATATCCTGCTTTTATCTTGCACAGGAGCCAAAGCGGCTTACAACATATTAAAGTCATGGAAACAGCAATCCATATACATTGATAATAAGTATAAAACATCATAAAATAAGCAGTTTAAAACAACAATAATATACATTCACATTCTTGTGGCATCATGTCAGATTATATTGCACTTCGTATTGCACATATATTCTATCAAGTACTGTGAATGAGTTTCTTACCCAACCCGCTGAAGACATCTTCATTTCTAAAAATCAGAAATTCACGGAGGTGCTAGCCATCCATGTGCAAAATTATTTTGGGCATAAAAGCGAATTCAGACATAGGGCTGATCATATTCTGACACTATACAATTTGGAGAAACTCAAACCAAGTTGACACAAGTGATTTTTAAAAAAATCTATATTGAAAATGCACACTCTTGACTGCACTTACCAAGGCAATGTGAACCGTAAACTCCACTCCAATTCCAACAGAAGCTATCAAGATGACAACAGGCACAGCGCTCAGTTTAATTCCAATAAGACCCATCATGCCAAATAGTTCCACTGTCATCAGAGCGAGCACCACAACCTTAAAAGAATTCAAAAAATGGTCAGCAAATTTAATGGAGGTGGGAGCAAACTGATGTGTATTTTTTAAAAACGCAAATCCTGCTTTAATGAATTAAATGTTCTTGCCTTTGGAAATTGCAGTTTAACCATTTCCTTTGAAGCCGAATAGTAACCAAGTAATACGTTTTCATTTTTCGTTGAATTTGGCAATGCAAATGAAATCATGTTGTCCATTGTCTTCTTCTATCTAACATTCCACCTCTAGTCTGAGTAGGGTGATTAATCCAAGTAAAGATGCAAGGCTTAGGCTCCCCTCTTCCCCGGTCTTTTGACCAAATTATAGAGTTAAGTGAAGATGACTCCCCAGTAATTAATACATAGGAAACAGAGAATACTGCAATCAGATGAAAGGTATCAAGTTACAAAGGGCCTCTTAGCTTTGAAGAACTTGGAGAGATCTGCTTGAACAAACCAAATAGTAAAAGTTAAGGGGAAGTTTTGAATTTTTTAAATTCTTTTGTCTACTTGGCATTTTAAAAAAGACTGATGTGAGAGGGGAATAACAAAATATGTACCAAAACAAAATAAAAAAGAAGGGTGGGAGAGTCTTGAAGGCTCCTGTTAAAAAGATAAATTTACTTTCTGTAAACAAAGTCTACCCCTTGTAGCAAAGACAATAAATTATTTTATAAGCTAATGACTCATGAATGATCATATACACAGCACATGTCTTTTGAAAGCTATTCTAGACTAAACATTTACCTTTTAACATACCTGCTGTACAAGTCTATAGGCCCCCAAACTGGTAATTGCTTTTTGCCTCTACCCTTTTATAAGCTATGGAGAAGTTCATAACGTTTGGAAGTAATAACAGCAACATTCCATGTGGAAAGAATGCTTACATACTGAAAGATGTCCAGAGCGTATAAAAGTCTAGTCGATACAAATTATGTTTACCATTTCATTTCTCCTACACACCATGGCCCTGCACTGAACTTTCCTCCCACATCCAACCCAGCGCTAGTAAACCTGTGGTCTGATGACAACTTTTCAGAAGGATAATCTCATGAGAAGGGTATATCATAACACAAAGTCAAGTGCTGGGGGGCTTTGGTATTTTATATAGCACAGTAGGGTCTGGACAACATATACCAGAGATGTGTCAAGGTGGACCTTGACTTGGGTGATTCTTCACAAAGGTCATTTGAAAAATTTTGAGATATGGGTTGCAGTGAGTTTTCTGGGCTGTATGGCCATGTTCCAAAATCCTTCTGGAACATGGCTACACAGTCTGGAAAACTCACAGCAAGTCAGTTATTCTGGCCATGAAAGCCTTCACCAACACTTTTGAGATTAGGTTATTTTAAAAAGTTGTAAAAGACTGGCCTATGATTCATAAACCATATAAATGAAGGGCAAGAGCCTTGTTTCCAAACTAAAAAATCCAGCTTAACAAAGTTACAAGTTGGGTGGATGGGACACTACAGCTCCCAGACTCCCCAATAAACATCAGCAATGATCATGCTGGGAAGGAAGTTACAGGGATTTGTTTGCTTGTTTAGTTGGTTTATTTTCTTTTAAAGAAAATCAGTTTTTTCAATCTGTAGAAGAAAAATATGGAAGCAGAGTTTCCAGAACACAATAAACAAATATTTGCGAAGAGTTTAAAATCATGTCATAGATATTACTCAGCTGTGTACAATTCTAAAGTTTTTACAGAAGATGTTTAAAAACTTCTCTTTATTATTTTTCTATGTCTCAAAATGAATGCAAAAGTTTAGATGCTTTTATTTTTACATTTCAGCTTCGAGAGTACTCCAAAAGGACTGAGGCTATTACGGCTTATACCTTTACCATGAACCCTACCCCCTCAAGTTGAATAAATATATCATGAATGATGCAATATGCATACTCCATCAGTAGCCCAGACATAAACAAAACCCTTCCGACTGTAGCAAGAGCTATGCTGAAAGGAATTTGACTTCAACGGAGACTTACAATGATCCCAGCCGTCCAGGGGTTCAGAAGGAAGAGGGCACACACCAGAAACGTGCAGGCCAGTACCACGCTGATGGATAAGAGGAGCCAATGACGAAGGCCAATGTATTGTTCCCAAAAGAGGAATGGATATCCATTTGGATAACTGGGAACTCCGAGGCTGGTGTAGTTGTTGCATATTGCTCTTACTTTCTCAATAGCTTCCACGAAGTCAGAAGTATCACGCAGTCCGTTGAGGTAGAAAGGAAACTGAGCATATTCAATAGGCTCTGCCTCTGGGACTGGGGAGAAAATAATAATTATAATTCAGTAACTACATTTTTGGGAAACAGGCATTGAAGACACAGTAAAATAGACATAACAGTCAGCATTTTATCTTTTGAGAACCTCAATGTAAATTAATTTGCCTCAAAAATGCAATTTAGGTTTATCAACAAAATGCAGCATAAACAGTCCTTGGCATTTTGATGAAATGTAATGTCAGACTGTAAGCCCTCTCACTATTGTAGCATGATGTTATACATCCTGTTACAACTGCTCTTACCCTTACGCTGCTATATGATCTATGAACCTTATTGACTAACTTGTTTGCACACCAGCCACCCTCCCACAATGAGACTTGAAGTATATCTTTGGTTGTAGCTTATCATACCTATTTATTATTGTTATCATGCTGTTTTATGTTGTTTCACACTGTTCTTATATTTTTACATGCTATGTAAATCTGTGAGATTGGGCCTGGCCCCATGTAAGCCGCCCCGAGTCTCTTTGGGAAGATGGAGGCGGAGTATAAAAATAAGTTATTATTATATTAGTATTATCAAGACGCTGTGAGGAAAACCTCTGAAATACTTCATGGGAAATATAAGCATTCATAAAATCATAGTTTGTTGTGGATGGAGTGTTGTTTTTATTGTGGCTGGTTTTTCAATAGTTTTCCCCTTTTCTTCATTTTTGTCAATTTTAGGTACAATATTGTGGTATGGTCTGGTGCAGGAGGAGATCTATGGGGGTGAACCATGAATTACTGAACTAACATGAATTACTGAACTGGGTGACACTAGCCCTAGTGACACCACTGAGTGTGAAAGTACTTGAGATTTTGATGGTATTTTTTAATTCAAATGTTTAGATTAATTTTAATCATTCTCACGGAGTCACCCAGTGCACATCACTCTGATGCAAGGGTGTTAAATTTTAAACAACTGATCAGCTGAAAGTGCTAGAATCCCTAGAATAAAAATTAATCCAGTGAAATGGGTCCAACTTATGTAATTAGTTTAACAATTTAAATGGCAAAATGTCATTACATTTGTTACGTTTTCCAAAGTTACTGAAAATGAGTGTTAGAACATGTTCCAGTCAAACAAAGAAAGCTTAAATACTTCCAATGGCAATTTCAGGAAACTATTTTTTTTGTCCTTCAGTGACATGGCATACTCAAACTTTCCATGCTTCTTTTCTTTGACAGGAATACTTAGTCCACCCTCCACTCCCCCTATGCATTTTCTACAAGTGGCTCTGAGTTCCTCCTCTTGTTACTCGTGTGTGTTCCACAGCCTACAGGATCATTCAGCTGACTTACTTAACATGGTTTGCCCTATTATAATCTCCACTATAAATTTTCATTTAAGACAAAACTTGGCTGACTGCCCAATAACTTTAGGATTCGGATATAGGAAGGCACAATTTGCTTGTTACCCCGTTGTATTTCTAATAATGCTACCATTTTCTACCTCTACTCTCGCCACCCAATAACCACTAGCCATTCACCCAATAAATTTGGTGTAAAAGCAAATAAAATCAAATTAATAGTGCGCTTCAGAATGCAAATGGGTGACTTTAAGTAAGGATTGTAAGGAAAGAGGATATTCTTGTATACAGATCTCTTTCTCATCTAAACAGTTTAGGCAAAATGCAGGTGTTAAGAGAATGACCTAATTTGCCAGAAACTTTTTGCTGGCTAGGCTGACAGATTTAGGATAAACATGATATAATTTCCGATGCCTGCATTTGCAGAGGCAGCATACCACATGAACTGAGGGCTTCCCTTACATATAAATAGCGTGCCACATTAAAATGAAACGTGTAATGCAAGCTTTAGACTTCTAAGATAAACTATTAAAAACTTCATTTTTCAAAATGACGAACAACTGCAGAGGAATGGCATTCTTCTACTACATTACACCACCACATCTGTCCTCCTGAGTTTTTACAAAGGAACACAATATATTGTTCTGTTTACAGTCTGAGTCCTGTACAATGTCAACTGACTGGAGAGCTGCTGCACCTTGAGAGACAGGCTGAGGTACTTATATAAACCATAAGTGAAATGTTCCTTACTGGTAACTGGCATATAGTCGGCTTTGTCATGGACCCATTCTGGACGGTGGGGACGGATATTGGCTTGAGAGGCAGCGTAAGCCACGGGGTCATTGCTAACCCAGGCAGTCAGGTAGATGTAGAAAGCCTTTGGGTTAATGATTCCATTTGCATCCACCAGGCGCTGCTTAGCCAACTGCACAATGGAAAGAAGCATTTCAGTATGGATGGACCTCTAAGGCACCTGCTCAAATATTTAGACACAGAAATCAGAGAATGTGCACCACACTACACAAAACAAAATAACTGTTTTGTGGGAAACTTTATATTTAACAAGGATGATATAGCCAACCAAGTGCTGACAATCTGGAGGAAAGAACCCAACATTTTTATAGACCAAACTGTTTTCAACCCACTTTGTACAGAGTAAAGTGCTTTACATACTATTTGTTAAAAAACATTCAATCAGCACAAGGTTCCAGATGAAGATGGAGCCAATTAAACCCAAATTCTTTTTTCAAAAAATGTCTGCAGCCCAGAGGGGAAAATGGCAAAGTTGGAGAAACATATTCAAAGGTGGTTTTGAGGGAGAGGGAGGGGAAAAAAGAAAAGGAAAAGAAAGGAATCTGGCAAGAGTCCGATGGACGTCTGTGTGCAGTTAACCTCTGTTGTTAACACTGAAGGAAATGCCACCCAGTAAATGGAGGAGAGCTATAAAAATAAAACAACATCTGTATAAATTTTGCTAACACTTGCCTCCTATGACCTATGTATTCAGAAAATGCCCAGCACCAAAAACCAGATGAGTGCACTCTTGCTGAGGTCACGTGGACAAATGAATTTGAGGAGTATGAATCAGATATATTCTAAGATTCTGGAACAAAGGGCATCTTGCCAAGGAAATGGGGGCCACACATAGAAGGCATCCAGAAGAAATAGCAAACAAGAAAGATTTCTGGTCTCTTTTGTTTATTTTTCATTTCAAACTCTTGTTTAAAGTTTGAAAAACAACAGTGACAGCAGTCTTTCTTTTCTAAAGCTGGAATCTAGAGATCTGGTATCAATTAGTCCACAGGATATGCAACAACGGCAAGTCTTCCAATTGTCTTTAGAACTGCAGAGCACAGATCATGGGCCTGTGGGTACAGCAGCTTGATTCCCCCCGCCCTCCTAATCAGAGGAATACGTATCAAGAGTCATAGGCCAGTCATGTTTTTTCATAATATGCACAATGATGACTGGGGAAAAAAATTGACTAAAGCTCTTTTGTCTACCTTTCCCCCCTACCAGATGCTTTCATAATGCCCTTGGATTTGACAACATGCTGCATATTATACAAACAGATAATTTTCTTTTCACAAGAACCGATATTATTGTGATCAAAGTGTTCTGGATTCGAATGCAAAGTGGAGATGTTGTTGGATTGAAGTTGTCATTAGCCCTAACCAGCAATTGTAGCATTGAGAGATGATAGGAGTTCTATCCAACAATATATTGGGGGGCGGGCACATATTCTCACCCCTTAATCTAACAGCAACTATTTGTGCATAGTGGCACCCAGAAAACCACTACTAATAAGATCATTGTATTGATCTTTTCCTACTTGAATTGAAACAGTGATCTAGCATTCAAAGACAAGGTAAGGATTACACATCATTCTTTGTTGTTCTTATAAGCCTTCAAGCTGACACTGATTTATGGACACCTCACAGAATAAACAACACTATAGGAAGGGTCTTTGGCAAGATTTATCCAGGAGAGGTTTGCCCTGGTCTTAGAGAGTGGCACTTATCTAAGTTCACCCAGTAGGTTTCTACAAGCAACAGCAAACTCAAACCCAGTCCTGTTTTGACACTCCAATCATATGTCACAAAGGTCCTCAATAACCTTTCCTTCACTGACTCCTTTAATGACCCTTTTAAAATCAAAACCAATAAGGGGGGATGTTTTTCTCTCAATCTGATCAAAAATGGTCAGGGACTATATTCTAGTGGTAGGCTGATCTTGGGACCAAAAATATTAGCATATTTTGAATTTCAATAGGGCTACTACTTAACAACCACTTTGTTAAATATGGAGTACTCTAAGCACACTTAACCTTTCCTAACCTGATATCCTCCAGATATCCTGCACTAGAACTTCCAAAATACCATAGTCAGCCAGTTGGTTTACATACTGAAAGATGAGGGGGTCTAAATTCAAAGTGTAAGAAAGCAAAGTACAGTATAGCAAAAACAAAACCATCAAAAAAACCACCAGATCTGATGTGTCCAGGTTGCTACAAAACAGAAATAGTTTCATTCATGTAACTGAACTGCTATATGTAGAGAGGAGACCAACCTCCACTGAAGCCAAAAGCTTTTTACTAGCACACAGGGAAAACTACTTGGGCAGAGAGGCTTAAATCACCTCTATCGGTGCATGGTAGAACCTCACTCACAGCTTACCCCTAGGCACCTACTGTCAAATAAAAAAGTAATGCTTCCTTGCTCATTACACAGTTAGCACAATATCTGATTTAACCTTGTCAGAACCTTGCATGAAGTTTTCTACAATCTTCTCTCAATGCAAGTGTCCCCAAAAGATAAGGGAGTGGAATAGTCTGGATAACAATGGCTAGCATATTTCTTAATCTGGAAGGATCTTATGCAATAACTAAGAAGTGGATCAGTAGTGTATTTTCTAATTTATATGCCAGAATCTACCCATCCGCAAGTCATCCTCACAATCCGATCTGCTCAATTCTACTTTCACCCAACCACTGACCACATATTCCAAACAAACCCCAAGGGCAATCTACAAAAGTTACTGCAACAATAGCTAAAGCCAATAGGCTATATCCAAGTTATTCCTGCCAATAAATAGTAAGTCCAATGGGCCTTGTAATATTTATTTCACTGAATATGCTGTAAATACAACCAACATCAAATTTTGCCCAAACAGATATACAGTCAGTCCTCAAGTTACAAATAAGGTTCTGTGGGTTTGTTTTCAAACTGAATTTGTTTGTAAGTCAGAACAGGTACATTATTTAAGTGTGGCACCAGACACATATACACACATACACCAAAGCTTTGGATGGCAAAGGGAAGGGTTAACATCCCTGTGGTGTTTCTTTAGTTGTCCTTGTTCAGAAGATTTCACATCACTTTCTGTCCCTGTGACAATTGGATTTTGAAAAAAAATGGCTTGTTGTAGAAACAGGGATTGGTGAAAAAGCCTCAGTGGAGACACTTATTCCCCACAATAACTCTTCCAGAAGTGAATGTCCCTTCTGAGGGGTAGATCTCTCTTACTTCCTCTTGTCTCGACCCTGTTTGTAACTATGAGTTGTTTGTAAGTCAGATGTTTGTAACTTGGGGACTGCCTCGATTAAGAGTAAGATTCATCTCAGTACTCAAAACTGCCAAGCACAGAACAACAGGAACCGTAGTGACATCTATTACAAATACAGCTACCACAAATGACTTTAAGAGGAAGAGAGGGAAAAATAATCCCCCCCCCCCATAGGATCTTAATGAGTGAGAAAACTTGTAAGAGAAAGATATATCTTCGAATAGATGTGATCTATTCACTGCATGTTGTCCCAATGTGATTCTTTTTATTTTTTGAGATCCTCCCCAAATTTAATGGGGGGGGGGTGCCCTCCGAATGGCAAATAAAATGTTCCTAGAGAGGCAGTTCACATTTATTCACACCTTCAGTGCTCTGCACAATTACCTTTACCCCCCCCCCCCTGAAAAAAAAGTGGCTTTACTAGAAATTGGAAGTTGCAAGCAGAAGCAACTGCTGGTTGGGATGCTTCAGCAGCATGAACCACCAGCGGATAGCATGGGTGAAAACTGATCTTCACCATCAGCCAGATTTAGGCAATTTAGGCCTATGACTTTGAGGACTGCCACTGATTTTTCCACTCATCAAACATTATACTCTAGTTGGCTTTTTCTGTACCAAATTAAGTGGCTACATTTTGCAGTGGTGTTTCTGACTTGTTATCAAAGGATGCTTCAGTGCTCTAACCTAGGATTTCCTTCTCTAAGAAATGCTATTGTTGTAACAGTCATATAAGGCTAATAGAAGAGCCTTTGGCCATGGCTGCTACCTAGAAATCCAGAAACATTTCTCTTCCACACTTAGGCTTGTTTATGCATCTCAGGTTCCAGGGGAAGTTGTGACTTCATTTACAACAATGGAAGTACAAGATCCATGGGGCCTCCCAACATTAACACATTTGTTTCAGTTGTATTGGGGTTTGTCTCATCTGTACTGAGGTTTTAATGTATTCAATCACACCCAGTTCATCACTGCTTCCAAACATTCAATCAGAACTTCCTTAGAACTTTACTTGGCTCCACAGAAAAGAAAAGTCAGAATCATCATCAACTGACGACACTTCAACTAACATCTGCAGCTAAAGACACCCGAGATAAAACTGAACCTTACAATACTGCTTAGACAGAGCCACAGGGGAGCTTCTTAGCATGCCCTACAGTCTACAGCTCTTGCCCTCATTATGCAACTTGGAAGGTAACATTGCAGTGAAAACAGCCATAAGTCCAGAAGAACTCATCAGATCATATGACTGCTGTTTGCTTCATCTATTAGGGCAACTATCAAAGTTTTTTCCCCCTAGTCAGGCCTGATAAAGATGAAGGTAACCTAATCAACAAGCAGTTCCTTGAACTTTGCTGTTGCCTATTTACCAGGAACAGCCAGTAAATATTCAAGTAGAGGATAGAAAACATGTTATTTATTTGTTCAGTCACTTCCAACACTTCATGACCTCATGGACCAGCCCACGCTAGAGCTCCCTATCTACGGTTGCTACCCCCAGCTCCTTCAAGGTCAAGCCAGTCCCTCAGCTTCTTCAAGGTCAAGCCAGTCACTTCAAGGATAACATCCCACCATCTAGCCATTAGTCGGCCCCTCTCCTTCCATTTTTCCCATCTTCTCATTTCCAAGCTTTCCTGCCTTCTCATTATGTGGCCAAAGTACTTCATTTTTGCCTTTAATATTCTTCCCTCCAGTAAGCATTATTTTCTGGAGTATGTTTTGGTTTGATCATCTTGTGGTCCAAGGCACTCTCAGAATTTTCCTCCAACATTACAGTTCAAAAGCTTCTGTCTTCCTTCGCTCAGCTTTCCTTATGGTCCAGCCCTCACATCCATAGGTTACTATGGGGAATACCATTGCTTTAACTATGCAGATCTTCATTAAAACAGTTTCCTCAATAAAAGTTTCACAATTGCCTCCCCCAAGAGGGAAGGAAGTAGCCCATTCCTCACATAAAGAAAGATACTCATCATCTCATAACTAATAAAATCAACTTTTTCCAGCTGGATACAACCAGCCAGGAAAGACAGAGGTCAAGTTTACAAGTATCAATCAGACAGTTCCAAAGATTCCAGCAGAACTCAGGTGAAACCCATCTTACCAATTGTGGCTACCAAACAGTGTGGCCATAGGCATAGATTCATACTTTTAACACAGCATTTACAAATGAACAGAGAGGAAGATGCAAATGTCTAAAAATCTATCACAGCAAGCAAACGTAAATGCTATTTTTCTACCTCTTTGTGGCCAGGAGGTAATAATAAGCCTGAGGAATCCTCTTTCTGGAAAACAGTGCACATGTGATGGTAGAAGAAAAGTAGCATTCTTCACTGTCATCACTATCATGAAGTATGTCTTCAACTAAGCTCTTCCTTAGGTATTGAAGGTTTCTACAGTTACTGCTTTCTACAACTACTGCTCACTATGCCACTCCTTTTGCTTCACTATCCACAGAATCCCCGGAGTAACAAGGTAATGTTTGGACTCTATCATGCATGATATATCTCAGAGCTGTCCTATCAATCATCCACATTAATTTACAGTTCATCACTCAGTTTTTAAAAACAGTATGTAACACACATTCTTCATTTGCAACATTTCACTTAAAAACGAAGCACAGTCGCATTTTTAAAATACCTGGCTAATATTAATGGGTTTCTCTCGGATGCCTGACATGGTTTGAACCAGGAGTTTATAAGCCAGGACAGCATCCTCAGATCCATTTTTGTAACTGTTGAGTGTTATCTTCCCAGATTTCCAGTCATTGTCAAAAGCCTCCTGAAGTCCTGTTGAAAAGTGAGGGTGCAGGATAAAAAAACAACATGTCATTTACAGGCTTCCAAACCATTTAAATGTGCCTCTTTCAAACTATTATTGAAGAGGCTTGCAGGACTTTGCAGTTTTCAGTCCCCAAGTAGGTGCTGACAGGCAATGTGGAACATCACCACCACTTTCCCAGAGCTCTTGACTCTTGTTCTGACCATTCCTCCCTCCTCCCTATAGCCCTGGAACAAGCAGAGTCTGGCTGGAGTACTGTCACCTGCCTCCCAAGCAGATGTTTGGGTGAGTGCCACAGGCCTGAGACACATGCGCCTCCCAGACTCACAGCCTCAATGTAGACTGCCTTTCCCATCTTCCAGCCAGTTTATGGAAGACTGCCAGACTGGAGTTCCAGACAGATCTCCTGCTGCCTCAAAACTGGGCTCGTCCTCCCACACCCACTTAGCTAAACTCCACCACACATGAAAACATTCTGACATCATAGCACTACTGTGTGTGTGGCTGAACACATGGCTTGTATTCTGGTGTATATGTGAAGAGCAGAAACCATATGTGTATATTGCAACTTGAAAGACCTATGTGGTTGTATGTTCGTGCACAATGCTTATACACGGGGAAACACCTTCCTTCTCAATATATAAATAATTTGTGCATCTAAACTGGATTTTTAAATAAGAAACCTTCTAACACAAAAAATGTCTGTGTGCTCTGTGCATTCCGACAATTGTCGTGTAAACAGATACAAGACTAAAACCTGGTTGCACTAATCTAATAAGGCATGGAGGACACATGTGGGAAGGGATAGTGCTCCAAGAACCACAAAGCGTTCACTGGAAGAGCTTAGATCCAAGTATTTGCAAAAAAAAAAAAACAACAAAAAAAAAACCCACAACAATTCCAAGAAAAGAATGTACTCCCCCTGTTCCCCAGCAGTCAGGAATGTATTTTGACTTAGAACATAGTTCTGGGGGATAGTGCAAATAATTATAAACACAGGGCTACAACTGCAACAAGTTAAACAAATTTAAGCCAAAGGAACAGAGTGGGTTTGATTAGGAGTAATTCTGCAACATCTCAGCTCACTGTGAAACACTTCCACACCAAATCCCAAATCAAGTGAACATTTTAGCAGTAGTAATTCCAAGATCTTTTAAAAAGTTCTCCAGGCCCAACGGCAGCAAACAGCAGATACTCTGCTCAGCCCCAGGTTCATTTTATGTGAACAATTTGATTTATACCAAAGTTATAACTTGTACCAATGTTTCCTTCACAGGTATCCCTGAAATTAATAAGACTAAATCCATTGTTAGTTCCCAACTAGAACATACACAGTGAACCAAAGGAATTTAAATAATTGTTGACTTACCAAATGCCCACTGATTTATTCAGTTTGCTCTAGCTGGGGACTAAAATTGAATTAAGACATAGAGTTGCAGGAGAAATGATCCTGGAGGATCGTGCCTTTTGATTGTAATAGCAAAATTTGGGAGAAATGGAGACCACTATCCAAAAGAAAACTTTCCTTCCTTGTGGCCCTCAAATGAATTACACAATGGGAAAGAGACACCCAGCACTCTGTTGTTTCAGCTACCGCTAGGTGCCGAAGCCATAGGTTATATGGCAACATGACCAGAAATTCCACCACAAAGCCGGAGGAAAAGGAAACCCACACTCCAACTTTCAAACTTCAAACAGCAACTCAGCTCCTTCTTGAGCACAGCATGAGTGAACACGATTTTGTCAATTTGTTCCATCTGTTCAACTTGTGCAGCTAATACAAGTTGTGGGATCTGCTGCCAGCACGTGTAAAGATCACAGCCAACACCTATTCACTCTCAACTGTTATTTTCCTCTTTGCCATCCTTTTTCAAGGAGGTGGAGAGGCTGGGCAAAAATACCTCACAGCACAAATTTGGATCAGATTTAAAACAGGAAGCCACAGCCCAGCACAAGGAGGCTGTGTGAGAACAGATGAACGAACCACATGTCTAAGGAAAAGAGAGGAAAGCGAAATGGGGGGAACGAGAGGGGGTGGAATCCACCGACCCACCTCACAGCCACCTCGCAGCTGCACTGAGAGGCTGTAATCAAAACCATCATTACAGATCTGATAGGTTAGCTACAGCTATAAAGAGATAAGAGCAGTTGGAAGAGAAAAACATGGCCTAAATGACACAGCCTTAGGCTCTGCATGCTCGTTCTCATTTAAAAAATGTTCCTCTAAAGTTGCCTCCCATGTAGAGATGCAATAAAACTGGCTCAGAAAGCCTAACAGGGTTCAGGACAAAAGTGGTAGATGAACAAGCCTGCCAAACCTGTCACATACAGTCCTCCATGACCTAATCAAGAAGCATACATATATGTATTCAAGTTGCCTTTTTAACTTATGGCAGCCCCATAATTTTTATAAGGTTTTCTTGAGCAAGAAAAGTTATACCACAACAAATATTGACATCTATTTATTCTAATTCCACCAACAAGCCTTTATAACAGGTATGGGCAAATTTCAGCCTTCCGGGTGTTTTTGATTTCAACTCCCACAATTCCTAACAGCCTACCAGCTGTTAGGGATTGTGGGAGTTGAAGTCCAAAATATCCGGAGGGCCRAAGTATGCCCATTCCTGCCTTATAAGCATTGGACTTCAACTCCCACAATTTCTAACMGCTGGTAGGCTGTTAGGAATTGTGAGAATTGAAGTCAAAAACACCCAGAGGGCCAAAGTATGCCCATGCCTACCTTATAAGCATCCATGTTAAAACATTGGTTCCTGGGGGGGGGGGGGCTTTGAAACAAAAGAAATTTAGGAAGGAGGAAAATACAAGCCATTCCTTTTTGTCAAGATTTTCCCTTTTCTTAAACCATTCAGCACACTAAATGGTTGGAGAAAAGACTACATGTTGTTAGCATATGCATATCTAGTATAACATGCCTTGAACTTTTGGAATAGGACAGGCTATAAATCTAGCTAAATAAACAGTAACTTTTCCAAGAGAGTAATCCTAGGGTAAGGTATCAAAATAAATAAAACATAGGGAATTCTGCAGAAGGAAAATAGAGTAGTATGGTTACGATGAAAACAGCTCAAAGAGAAAAGTACAATACAGGAAAATGTATAAAAATTGCTTAGAGTTTTGTCTGTACCTTGCAGCCAGTCTCTAAAGTAGTGCAACCACATTTTTGGAAGCTGCTTGTTTTCCTCCAACAAAACGTATGTAACACTGCTGAAACTTTTGTGAAGTTCATAAAGTAAGTGCTGAATGTTGGGATAATCTGCTTTTTGCGTCACGATGTACATGTGGTAGAATGAAAAATACTTGAATTGGGCTGCAATGAAATCATATTCCCGTGTTTCCCGTGGCACAATGTCCGTAAGATCCAGTCCATCTCTGACACGGGTGGTTCCATATAGGCTGAGGCCAAATAAGGCTAGGAAGAGAAAAATAACCACGATCTGCATAAAGAAAAAGAAAAGTTATCTTCTATAAGTGAGGTAATTTTAGCATTTTGGAGAAGAACTATATTACAAAAATTACCATTAATGATATTCCATCTTTCTCCCAAGCACAGGATCCAAGGCTACATTCTCCTTGTAGTGTAAAGTAAAAGCACTGAGCCTTTTAAATTTGAGTATTTAAATACTTAAGTGATCAATAACTAAATCTTGACTTGGCCACAGTTAAAAGCACACATGTTACTTTAAAAGTACATTAAAAATTAAAAGCAATTATAACATTTCAATTTTACTGTTTATTCTAGAACATAATCCTAAGGCTATTGCACAAACCACATGATTTTCCATCTTTTGTAAATTACTCTCAGCAGGGCTAATGTAATCATTGCATCACATGCCAAGTCAATGTGGTTGGTTTTTCAATAGTCTGAGTTGAGCACCAAGACAACAAATCCATCTTTGGCGATGCTCCAGCCCAATTTGTTGTGCTGGTTCCTATCCCACCAGCCTCATTCCATGGGGGCCATTTTTGTTTGCAAAACAACTTAAACTAGGACTAAGGTGGGGACAAATTAACACCATGCAACTGATATGCACACACCCTGGTAAGGGACTTCGTTTTTCATTTTCAAGTCTGTGTAACATACGTTTAGAATGTATATTAGTAAGAGGAGGAATTGTATTAAATCTGACTTTTCAAAAGTTCTGGCCTTTCAGGAAACAATGATTAAGATTCTGTACACTTTTGGCGCAATATATGTATACACTAGCATAATCATCCTCAACCTTACAATGGTTGAAGGAATTGTGCAACAGGTGTCAAAGCCTTCAGCTTACTCATTGCACAATTGAACACCTTGACATTCACCAGGCAAAAATGAAGAGTGTGTGTGTGCTTGAGGAAGGACTGGATGCACCAGGGGCAAGTAGCATTTACACAATCATCTGTGCAATGTTTTTTGCACTCTCATCAGGATAACAATCCTTAAAGACGCTTACTAAGATTTCAATAAATAAACTAAATTGAAAGAATATTTCTATGAAAGCATTCTACTATTTATCTTCATCTATGAAATATATGGCCTAAATGTCATAGCATTTGGATGGGAGACCCCAAGGAATACCAGGTGCAGTAGGCAGAGGATGGAATAGGCAAAACAATATCTGAAAATTCCTTGCCTAAGAAAACTGAAGACACACTCACAAGAGGTTTTCTGATAGAATATCTACAGAGGTTTTCTAGAGGTTGCTAGAGGTTTTCTGATAGAATACCTACAGCAAGGAGCTCTTTTGAACCCAAATTCTACTTCGACCTGAGTAGAGTCTAAAGACATTATATTTTTCTACATACTGGCTGATATGCAACAATTGTTTGAATAGGTCTAGTCTAGTTTGGGATTAACCAACAGGATACCAATCATAGTAAGGGAACACATTTGGGCAATCATTATAAACCAGCCTGGTCACAGTTGAGCATGAAGAAACAGCCAATATAATGAGGACAGTTGACGTACTAGGGCCTAAATGGACAGCCATGCAGCCTCACATACCCCACTGTTGAAGATGGACATTGAGGGAGAGCAAGGATTAGGGGCAAGAACGGGAAAAAAAGCAGGTTCACATAAATAGCTATGTAATGAAGGGAGGGGGGTTAGGGGTGATAATGCACACCTACAGCTCGATGGGTTATTATAACAGTTGCTATTGTCATTTAATCCATAAAGAAAGGCAAGACACAAACAAACATTACCTTTGCTTTTGGTTTCAACAAGAATGGTGCATACTGTTTTTCAGCAAAGGAGGAGAGTGTCCATTTAGTACAAGGTGGCTCAAGACAATGTAGTGTAGATTCTGAGAACTGTGAAAGGAGATCCCGAGTTGAACTTGTGCTTTGGCAGCTGAGGTTATCTTGTGTCACAGTGATGGGTTGCACCGAAATTTCTGAGCGAGGTTCCGCTGTGGTATAATACACCTGGGTGTGAGGGTCATATTCAGTGCGCAACTGGACTGTGGACTGCATTGTGATCTGAGTTTCATGTGCAAAACTGTGGCTGCTATACGGAGGTGGAGGGCTGTAGCGTGTGTTGTCACCAGCTTCTGCATAGGCTTGCGGTTCAATCTGAATTACTCTGCTGACACAAGGGCTGAAAGATGGGAAAAAATGGGGATGCTATTGGTGTCATTGTAACCAAAACAACCATGGCAGATTATTTATTATGGTAATTATTTGATACATAAAGTATCAATAAAATGTTAGATGCTTCACAAAGAATTAGAAAACAAAAGCCTGATGTGAACATTTTTAAAAATATTATATATATAACAAAACAATGGTTTAGTGAAGCATTCTTTTTTTGTCAGGTGGAATAACACTGAAATATAGATTAGATACCAAGAATATGCAATGCAAAATCAACAAACAGCTACCCCTCTCTGTCACCCATTCTGGTGCCTTTCTAGTTCCTTCAACTGTTTCTATATTTTAATCAACTGAATGTCTGTTTATCTCCAGCAGATTAAGGGTTGTTAGGCACATATGAAAATACCTTGCAATTGTAGTGCCCAACTTTTGGGTCTCTCTCTCTGAAAGAAGATCCATCCTAGGGACTTTTGCCCCTGAAATTCTAGTCTCTCAGGAATTCTTGATTTTATGTGTTAGCATGCTGAAACCATATGGTAACATCGCATAGAAATCAATCAATCAATCAATCAATCAATCAATCAATCAATCAATCTCTTCCTCTCCTCCTCCCTCTGATTAAATTATATTTGTCATTTCTTTTACAATGTAAAAGTATGAGCACTGAAGGCACAATACTTCTCAATTACCTACTCACCCCACCAGCCAACATAGCTCACCCTGAAATGTGATGCGTATATGTAGCATTGAAACATTAACTTGAAATGATATATTCTATTCAGCAATTCTACAACCCCACCTTGTAAAACAGCAGAATATATCCAATCTTCGTTCTTCACGGCGATACAAATCCATGCTCAAAATTGCAGGAAAAATTAATAGAACCATGGCAAAGTTGAATACCACAACCACAGCAGCCTAAGTAACCAAACAGAGAAAAAGAGAAAAATGTGTCAGAAAGCCTAATGCATTTAATGCAAGGAGGCTTAACTTTGAAAAAAACAAGCACAAAATCATGTTTTTATTTGACAGTCATATATACTTAAGTTTGCTCAATCATGATCAAAATTGTACAGAACAGAATGAAAAGAGTTCCACAGCATTCCTATTTCATTGTTGAATGTCTCCTATAGAAGCAGTTTTTGACATACTAAATTTGTTGTCACCATATTGCAACCTTCATTACTCCTGTGGAAACCAGGGACATAAAGACCAAACTCACATGATTGTGAGGGAGGCTATAAAGCTATTTTTATTAATTTAAGCATGGATTGTAATAATGAGTGAGCTGAGAGGTCAAAAAAAAACAGCTGGACAATGTAGCTAGAGAGGTGGCCCTTGATGGATACCATCCTTGTAAGTTCAATTAACCACTGCTTCCATCATTCAGGAAAGAGATCTCCTGATTTAGCCAACCCATGATTTATAGCTCGCTCCCCAAAAAAGGTATGTGAGTTCATAGTCAGACTTCAGAATCCCCTTTTGATCCTTGGCATAAAGGACAGACTCTGTCAGAAAAACAAATTGCTATTATAATGGGGGAGGTATTGACATAAACTTGCAGTTAAAAGAAACAGAAGAAAAAGTGTCCAGAAAGGTCAATTAGAGCCAGCTCCCAGCCACCCAGTGAGGTCCTTGCAGAGCCTGGAAGCGTTATCATTTGGATTACAACTCCAAAAATGCCTCAGCCAGCATTTGGGAGTTTCTGGCAGCTGTAGTCAGAAACGTTATCAAGTTCATGGCCCTTATATTCACTGAAGGTTCTCCCTAAAGCTCTTCACTATCTATCCAAGTCTTTCACAGCAAGCTCTTATCTCATCATACCTTTAGAAGTTCTTTAATTGCCTCTATGACTAGCTCAAAAAGAAATGTCTAAAGAAGCAAAGAAACACTGTCAGAATCCTTGAACCTTAATATGATTTTGTATCCAAGGCAGTGCATTTTTCATCAAAATCTGATGTAAAAAGTATGTCTCATGTATTTTGTTGTACCATCCAGGTCAATATTTCATCACAGTGATTTAAAAACATCTTAAACAATTTTATAGTATCGCCCATCTAAACTTGTGTTACATTAGACCTGCTTGATCAGATTAGCAAGATTATTATACCATGTGCCTTCACAACCTAGTTTGGAAGTAAATGTTATGGCCCACTGAACTGATGTTTATCAAACAAATGTTAATCAAGTGAAATATTAAATAGCTATAGAAGCCTATCCCAGTATCAGCTATCCAATTGGTCGCTTGAAGACTCTCAAAATGTGAGTGGCAAATATTTGTTTGTCAAGGTGAACTGTTCTATAAAAGTTGTATCTCAGAAACAAAAAATACAGAGATTTTTTTCATATATGGTTCAGGTCCAACCTATCTTTGAGACCGCATCTCCTTCTATGAACCGGTATGGGCTCTGAGATCTCCCAGGGAGGCCCTCTTCTCAGTTCCATCTCTGTTTCAAGCATGGTTGGTGGGGACAAGAGAGAGGGCCTTCTTGGTAGTGGCCCCCCAGCTTTGGAATGCCTTTCCAAGAGAGATCAGGCTAGCTCCCACTCTCCAAGCCTTCTGGACACAATGGAAGAAATTGCTTTTTTAGACAAGCCTTTGACCATGTTCAGAAATCTTTAATGAACATATTTGAGTATCTAGAGCAGGGCTCCTCAAACTAAGGCCCAGGGGCCAGATACAGCCCTTCAGGGTCATTTACCCAGCCCTTGCTCAGGGTCAACCTAAGTCTGAAATGACTTGAAAGCACAAAATAACAACAATCCTATCTCATCAGCCAAAAGCAGGCCCACACTTCCCAATGAAATATTAATACGTTTATATTTGTTAAAATTGTTCTTCATTTTAAATATTGTATTGTTTTAAAGTGTTTTTAGCACTACAAATAAGATATGTGCAGTGTGCATAGGAATTCATTCATGTTTCTTTCAAATTATAATCCGGTCCTCCAACAGTTTGCAGGACTGTGACCTGGCCCTCTGTTTAAAAAGTTTGAGGACCCCTGGATCAAGAGATTATTTCACCTTGCATTTTATGAGACTGATGTTGGTTGTTTTATATCTGCAGTTATTGTTGCAGTTTATTGATTTTAACTAGTGGGGTTTTATGATGTTATGTTGTTTGTTATTGCTTTTGTGCTATTGTTTATGCACTTGTTGTGTTTTGTGTGTTTGAACCTTTGAGTTCTTTGTGAGCTGCCCTGAGTCCCTTCGGAAGATGGTGGTGAGGTATAAATAAAGTTTTATTTATTTATTTATTTATTTATCATATTCTACCTGTTCATCTGTGTGTCTAAATATACTGGCAGAATTTGTGCCAGTGTGTGATAATAAAAGCAAGCAACTTCATTTAACTATAAATGTAAAGCTTTTTTAAGGACAAAGAACAGGAATAGGCTGGTATGGATTTTTAAGGAAACTGATGAAAAACTATTTAACTCTGGTGCTGCTTTCCTTCTTATATGAAGCAGCCATCAGGCAAGAAGGTGGTTTGAGGGCCTCAAACACTCCCCCCCCCCCCCCCGCATCAGAGAAAACTCAACAAAGCTGGCAAGGGCTCTGACCTTAATTCACAACCATGTAGCTGGCAGCGTAGAAAGAAAGAGCTTGATTTATTTGAACGCATCAGCACACACAAACATTCAGAAAATTTGGTACAGAAGTCCTGTGTATATCCTTCTCTTATAAATGGAACTAAATGAAACAAACAAACAAAACGAACCTTTCAGTAATTCATTACTTCAGTGTGTGGCGGGCAGCTGCTGCTGCTATTGCTGCTGCTGCTGCATGCGTTAACTGAAGTCAAATAATGGAAGTCTGTGCTGGAGTCACTGAGGGAGAAAGCCTAGTAGGCTGGGGCCCTGCCCAAGGTATGCGCGGCTCTCCGCCATTCCTCACAGACCACCCAAGGCGAGCGGGTGTATTGTATCGCCAGGGATGATGAGCAGATGAGAAGGCCCACCGGGCAGTCGTTTCCCTGGCTGCTATCTCTCTGCAACTCCCCTCTAATGGCATTTGAGCGCTGTATTTTTATCCCCTCTCACCCCTCCCCAGATTTTACGAGTAAATTTAAAAACTCTATGACAAGAACAAAGGAAGCTTACAGAACTGGGTGTAGACACGAGGTTTGGACATTGCAATTTAATCTGGGAGTAAGATAGTAAATGCATCTTAGCAGCATTTATTATTTCTCCCACTAAGTGCACATATTTCTTAAAGGAAAAACAGATACCGTGCATCACAGAGAAATGATGCACTTACCTGTGAATTTTGGTTCTGATTGAGGAAAGAGGCTGGCTAGCCAACCTCCTTTCCTCATCAATGAGAAAAAACAGTTATTTAGGTTTCTGCAAAAGCTTTCACTACAGGAAAGAGACACATACATCTTTGTAACCATACATCTTTGGTAGCCAGCTCAAGAAGGAAGGTGTGGTGGTGGAAACTGATCCTGGGAAGTGCAAGTCATTATTCTGTGATGAGAAAACTGACTACTCTGCTGAAAGGAAACCTTTTGATAGACATCATCCCCTGCACACACAACCACTAGAAATTATGAAATGGGAAACGGCTCTCAAGCTTATGTGTTAAACTCAGAATTCAACCTTGAAGCAAGAGATACCATAGTGAATTGAATATTGGGCTCTTACCTCACAAACCAAATTCTTTTATCAGCAAGATAACACATTAAAATAAATGGAGAATAATAATAACAATAATAATAATAGCAACAATAGCTTTCTTCTTATATCCCTCCACCATCTCCCCGGCTTACACAAAGCACCAAGTGCCTAAAAACAAACATAAAAGTGAACATAATATAAAATGCAATAAAATAAAACACATGCACATATAAAAACATCAATTCAGACTCTCCTATTTAAGATGTCATTATATTCTGTATGCCCATGGTTCTAAGCTGGTGCCTTCCAAGTGTTTTGGACTATATCCCCCAACATTGCTGACCACTGACCACATTGGCTGAAGATGGTAGGGATTTAAATATTTATTTATTTACTGTACATACCGTATTTCTCAGCCCGAAGGTGACTCAGGGCAGTTTACATTCGGCACAATATAATGCCCCCAACAACATAAAAACACTTAAAAACATTAGCATATAAAATATAAATGACGTATGCTTTTATTGATGTTGTTATGGTTTTTATTATATGTTAATGTTTTTAATTGTATTTATGGTATTGTGGGCATTGAATTTTGCCCTGTAAACCACCTTGAGTTGCCTGTGGGCTGAGAAAAGCAGTATACAAATACAAATAAATAAATAAATTCATATAAAGTCAATAAAAACATATATCCTCAGTGTCTCCTTACTGAAATCATTATTCAATCACATTGTCCAGTCGTTCCGTGGGTCTATTTCTGCCTATTACATTGCATTTGCAAATGCTTGGAGAGAACCAGGCTGGGGAAGGCTAATAAAGTTGGCACATTCCCAAAGCCACCATGTATAAACATCTGAAAAATGATAAAAGCAGGCTATCTTCAAATAAAATGTGGAGATTCTGAAAAGAGGAAGAATGGGAAATATTTGCGCTGGCTACAAATTGACTATACAGGCAGTTCCTGAATTGCAAACATCTGACTTACAAATGACCCGTAGTTACAAACAGGGGTGAGACAACAGGAAGTAAGAGAAATTGACCTCTAGGAAGGGAAATTCACCCCTGTAAGAATTATCATGGGGAAAAGTGTCTCAAATGAAGCTTTATATCACCAATCCTTGTTTCCACAAAAAGCCATTTTTTTCCAAAATCCAAGTATCATAGGGATAGAAAGTAAGGCAAAATCTTTTGAACGGGGCACAGACAGCAAAACAAACACCACAGGGGTGTTAACCTTTCCCTATGCTATCCAAAGCATGCATGCGTGTGTGTGTGTGTGTGTGTGTGTGTGTGGAA